TTTCGGGTATTTAGTAAGTGAAACCGTTGGGTCCAAATTTAATTATTGAACCATTCAGGTTCGATTCCATTTGGTTCGGTTCCATTCAGTTCGATTCCCGACATCTGCACAATAATTATTTTTTTTATATTTAGCTACATTATTTCGACTATGACATATTCAATCTTAATTTTTACAAAATAACGTAGTCCAATTAGTGATATTATTTGCACATTTCTTTGTTGAGTTCTTCATATATTTTACCGTTAAAATCATAAGAAGAGGAATATAGCGAGTTCACAATAATAGAATGACAGAAATGTTACTACAGTAGAATAAAAGATTTGGGTAATTTAGGTTAATTTGATTAAATTGAGCTTGGCTGAAAATTGAAAATAATAAAATATTTTAAGTTTGAGCTAAATTAATTAGTTAGCAAATTCATTTAGAAAAAAATAAAATAATTTGATTTATTTAAGATAAAAAATTAGGGAGATTCGATTTTTACTCGGTTCTAGGTTTAGAACAGAAAATCGAACTGAATCCGTCAGTTAGAATCGAGAACCGAATCGAACCCGTCGGTTCTTGATTTAGATACTCGTTCGAGTATTTAATTTAAGAAAAAATGTTCGATTTTGTTCAGTTCGATTCAGGTCTCGTCTGGTCTGGTTCAGTCGAATTCGGTTCGATTCGGGAGTTTTGTCTAGCGCTAGGAAAAAGAGTTGCAGTTTTTCAGATTGCTCTAGGTCAAGAATTGTCATTCATTCTCTTAAAGTAAATAATGACAAATAAATATTACAATTCCATAAAACTTGATTGTTTAATTATGAACAATATTTTGAAAATCGAATCGGGTCATTCGATTCGGCCAATAAAATGGAGAAGCGGACCTAAATTTGGTTCGATTGCATGGCATTAACCGAATAATAGAAAACAGGTAGAAGAACTGCTAAACCGGATAATCGATAACATGCACCATACGATGTTCTCACTAGTGCTCTACGAAGTGTGAAGAATTATATAATGGCCTCATTTGCTATTTATGTCGATTTCCAAAGAAGAAACCGGAGATGGCCCACAAACGTACGTACTTGGAGTCTAAAATATGTTAAAATCCTCGAACAAGCAGGCTTCAAGTGACTCGATGTTGCCCAATTAAACCTTCGATTGCTGAATGAGCCCCTAAGGAAAAGCCCAAATCAACTAAATCAGTAAAATACATTGTTACTCTTGAGTTCAGCTAGCCAATTGGCTTTTAAC